TTCCCTAATTACATGTGATCATGTGATATGCAGCTTATTTTCATATCTTTTTTTTTTTTGAGAGAGGGTCCCACTCTGCTGCTCAGCCTGGAATGCAATGGCCTGATTATGGCTCACTGCAGCTTCAATCTCCTAGGCTCAAGCAATCCTCCTACCTCAGCCTCCCAAGTAGCTGGCACTACAGGCATGCACCATCATGCTCAGTGAATTTTAAAATTTTTTGTTCAGATGAAGTCTCAGTATGGTGCTCAGGCTGGTTTCAAACTTCTGGCTTCAAGCAACCTTCCTGCCTCAGACTTCTAAGTGCTGGGATTATAGGTGTGAGTCGCCACACCTGGCCCTGTATATCTTTTTTGGTGAGGTATCTATTAAAGTCTGGCCCGTGTTTTAATTGGGTTGTTTTCTAATTGCTGAATTTTGAGAGTTCTTTGTATATTTTGGAACATTGGTGGTGATTTTTACTGTTATGTAATTATTATTTATTCTGTTTTGTTTTAGAGATAGTCTTCCTCTGCTACCAAGACTGGAGTGCAGTGGCATTATCACAGCTCACTACAGCCTCAAATACCTGGCCTCAAGTGATCTTCCTTGTGAGCCTCTTGAGTAGGTAGGACTGCAGGTGTGCACCACCATGCCTGGCTAATTTTTAAATTTTCTGTAGAGATGGGGTCTTGCTATGCTGCCCAGGCTGGTCTTAAACTTCTGGCCTCAAGCTATCCTCCCACCTCAGCCTTCCAAACAGCTAGGATTGCAGGCATGAGCCATAGTGCCTGGCTGCCCCAGTTTTTTTTTATCTGACCATGTATTATTAGAGCAAATGATAAAGATATTTGCATTTTTTGAAAAAAATTAATGTTGTCTTAGTCCATGCTGTGTTGCTATAACAGAATTCCCAAAACTGGATGACTTATAATGAACAGAAATGTACTGTACACGTCTAGAGGATGGGAAGTCCAAGACGGGGGGTCCACATCTGATGAATGTCTTCTTGCTGCATCATCCCATGGCAGAAGGGCAAAGACAGGGTGTGTGTGTGTGTGTGTGTGTGTGTTGTGGGGATGGAGAGAGAGAGAATGAGAGAGAGACGGGGGAGGACTCACCCCTTTTATAAGAAACTTGCTCCTTTGTAACCAAACCCACTCGTGAGATAGCAGCATTAATCTATTAATGAGGGCAAAGCCCGCCTGTCCTAATCACCTCTCATTAGGCTCTACCTCCCAGCATTGTGACATTCACAACTAAGTTTCCAATACCTGCTTTTTGGGGTACACATTCAAACCACAGCAAATGGGAAACCGCTTAGTATAGTGTTTGGCGCGTATTATATGTTTAATAACGTTATTTGTCCGAGAGTGGTGGTTCATGCCTATAATCCCAGCACTTTGGGAGGCTGAGGTGGGCAGATCACTTGAGATCAGCCTGGGCAACATAATGAAACCCTGTCTCTGAAAATAAAAATACATATATAAATTTTAAAAACAAACACAAAATAATGTTATCTGGACTTAAATCTTGTATATTAACCTATGTATCTTAATACTTTTAATACAAGCTCATGCCTACCTCTTATTATATTTATTCCCAAACATTTTGTGTTTTCTATTGCCAATGTAAGAATGAGAAGGAAGATTTATTGCGAGATCAGAGAAAGCAAGGCTAGAAAGGCGGGTTAGGGCCCTTGATGGACAGTAGAAAGTTTGGGTTTTATCCAGGCAGCAATTGAGAAGCCACCAAAAGAATTAATCAGTATGGTAACATAATCAGAGTTATGCTTTAGAAGGATTATTTCCATTTTAGTATATAGAAGGAGCATAGGACTAGAGCCACTGAGAGTAACAATTACGGCAAGGTCTTTCCGTTCTACGAATTGATACCAAGGAAGCATAATAATCAAGAACCTGGTGTTTAAGCCTTCTTGGGGAGGTTACGGAAGGGTCAAAAGGATGTGGCTCATGTGGTCCTTTAAAACTGAGTCTCACATATGTACAGTTTATTACACTCCCCTAGTGTCATAAAGATACATGTGTTCCTAGGCCTGCTTTTGATTATTTTCTAGATTTTGATCCTCTCCTCTTATATATGCCAGTTTAAAAATGCCCTAGATGTCAATGGTCAACTTCTAAAAATGTTGAGAATTTGCACAGAAGGAGAAGGTGAGTGACTTGCATTGGACCACAAGAAAGGTCCTGATTACAAGTGTCTCAATAGGAAGCAATAAGGAACCTGACAAATGAAGCTACTTAGTAGTAACTAGGCACAGAAAGGGGACAGGAGGTTTAGAGAAAAAGTAGGAATCATGCTTGCAGGAAGTGAAAGCTTGAGAGAGAAAGATGCAAAAACAATTTGTAGGGTTTTTCTTACCTGGGTGTCTAGGAGATCAGAAGTTTTATAAACAGGTAGAAGAGTAGTTTAGAGACTCCCATGAGAAATTAAAAAGATAATTAAAATTTAGTTATATTACATTAAGTATTGCCAGAAATTAGAGTGTCACTGTTCAAACAGGAGTTAAAAATTCAAAACTAGAGCTCAGGAGAGGTCAGAGATGGATATAAAGAGTTGAATATTGGGGACATGGAGTTCATACTTGCCGGAATGGATGACATCACTGAGGCTGCTTATCTGGTACAAATGATGGGAAGGATGAGGGCAGAAACTGAGAAAATATCACTTTGAGTGAGGGGCAGGAAGGGAAGAATGGTTTCCTGAGCAGCAGCAGAAAGTTCAGACAGTTGGAGAGCTGTGGAGTATAGAGTCTCACCTATGTTGAAGAGACATCTGAAGAGCAACCTGTGTCAGCAAAGTCAAGGAGTCTGAGATTTGGTAACGAGGTAATTACTGACTTTGCAAGCTGTTGGTAGAATGGTGGGGATGAATGAATCTAATCATATCTCAAAAGGATTGGTAGAAAGACGAGGGAGAAATGTGATGTTGAGCCCAAAAGAAAAGAGGGTAGAACATCTCTTTATATAGCTTTTCTCAAGTAGTAGCAGCATGTTAAGCAAACAAAAGACAACAGAGAATTGACCTTGTATCTACTAGAAAAACGGAAAATCTCTGCGCATTTTCGAATGGTCTGATTTATTGTGTAATTATTATATTTTTTCAGCTTAAGACCCTTCATTAGCTTCATTGCTTGATAAACTCCTAAGTATGATGTAGAAATTCTTCTGTGATCTGGGTTCTGCATATTTCTCTAGCCTCATTGCTCACACCTCCTTCTTTGTAAACACAGCTTTTTCCAGCTTTTCAAATGTCTCATGCTGGTTCTTGTGCTGGCGTTTGCAGCTTCCACGTCTTCCATCTAGTTTCTTGATAGCTTCATGAATCTTTATCTTCTCCGACTAAACTCAAAGTTCTTTTTCTATGAATCCTTTCTGGGTGTTCAGGGTTGATGTCATCATTCCCCTGTAATTTCTATCACGTAGCTCCATGTTGGGTACATAGTCTGTATTATATAAATGCTGAATGAACAAATAAATGAAAGTGCAAGTCTTCACATCACATCCATTTTTCATTTCAAAAACATACAATATACTATACAGCATTTATTCTTTCCATACAATATTCACTTTTGTGATTTTGTTAAAACACATAAAATTTTAAGTAGCTCCAGCTACTCAGGAGGCTGAGGCAGGAAGATGGCTTGAGCCCTGGAGGTTGAGGCTGCAGTGAGGCTTGATTGTGCCACTATACTCCAGCCTGGGCAACAGAGCACCACCCTGTTTCAAAAAAAAAAAAAAAGAAAAGAAAAAAAAAGAAAATTAAAAAATATTATTTAAAGCTTATAACATAAAAGTTCTAATCTCATTAGTCTATTGTAATTTTCCATTTCATTTCTAAACGTTAGACTGGGCTGTTTTTTCCCTTTATTTCCTTTGGAGCAATCATCCTCTTTATGTTTCTAGTAAAAACAATCAGGGACTGGCCTCCGTTTTAGATCTAAATGACTAAAATTAAACCAATTAAGGTTTCAGTGCTACAAGAATCAAGGAGGTTTTAACCTCGTGTTTGCATTTATGACCATTGGCTCTCCCAAGGGAGAGAGGAGGAACGACGGTCTCTACACCTGGTTTCAGGGTGATGACAATCAACATGGAACGAGTTTAGAAAACAAGGCTCGTTTTGCATTAACGACCTTTTTGTGCAGAGGAGGTAGGTGGCGAAGATAAAAATATTCAATCAAATCCCGCCAATTTGCATTGTTCTCTGGGGATAGGCTTTCAAAAGTTAAGGAACAAAAGAGGCTTTGGTTTTCCAATCTCCCTGAGGCGGCAGCAGATTGTGAGGCAGCCAACGGGAGAAACCGAAGTATGCATTATCAATAACAGGACGGAGAGCGTGTGTGTGCGTGTGTGTGACAGAGATCAGAAGCGAGGAAAGAGATATGCAACACACACGCTACGGCTCCGAGGCGTTTTCTGCGATGTGCCTGGTTATGTAACGTTGATAATGAAAGACGCAGCAACAGCATCAATGCATTCTTCCGACCTGCTCGCCCCCCTAAGCTGGGATACAATGGGGACGGGAGGAGGGGACACGAAGCCCTGTTCAGGCAGACAGCTGTCCAGACAGAGGTAAACCAGGCAGTTGGGCAGAACCCGAGCCCAGAGAATTTCTCCCCAGGCCCCGGCACAGCCCACCGTGGCTGTGGCTCTAAAGATGGACAGAACCAGTTTCAAAATGCAGGATCTGGGATCCGACCTCTTAGGTTTTTATTCAGCAGGCCGGGAAAACGGGTTAGAAGCTGGAAATCTGCATTTCCCCTCGGCTCTGGCGACTGAGACAGGAAAGCGGGCACCTCGCGCTAAAAAGCCACAGCCGCCCGTGCGCACAGGACATCCTCGCGCGGGTACTGGGAGCTGCTGGGGCAGGAGCACGCGCGGTCGCGAGCCCGCCGCTCCTCAGCAACGGGCGCATGCGCCTGTTCTCCCCTCACCGAAGGCGCGCTGCTTGGCGGGCGGTCTCCTCCAATCCGAGCCAGCGTTCTCGGCGTCTGTATCCCGGAGCTGCGGGCGGCGGGAGGAAAAGGGCGGGGGGAGCCTGAGTTGGGCTGACCTCTGAAAGTCTGGGAAGGTGTGCGAGAGCCCCGAGTGTTTTCAGCTCCGGAAGTGGCAGTTGTAAACTTCACCTCCCGGGGGGCCTGTCCCCTCCTGTCCTCCTTTGCTCTTTGTCCCCCTCCTCTCGGGTCCTAGAGTCCGTCGTGTTCCAACAGTTTTTGCTCTTACCCCTGCGGGGTGCCTGGGCCTTCTACCCCTGAGACTTGGAGCGGCCCCTGGGGTCTTGGGTGTGCGGCGTAGATCACGCGAGGCCCCTGAGGTAACCGCAGCGTGTCGGGGCTTCGAGGCGGACGACTTGGGAGGGAGGTGTTGAGACAGTAGGGACCCCTGAGTGAGTTTGGGGCGGCCCTGGAGCTGTCCCTATTGCCCTTGGGGCACGCCTCCAGCTCCCTGTGCTGGGTCTCCCCGCCCACCTAGAGGAAGATCTCGGTGGAGCGGCGTAGCCAGAGATCGCTGCCGCTGTACCAGAGCGCCGGGTAGGGACCGGAGGGAAGGCAGAGGGCTGGGACTTGGAGCTTCTTAGGGTTACAATTGCGGGACGCTTTCCTTCCCGATAATCGGTAAGCGCCCTCGAGGATATGGACCACTTCTTTCTGCCCCCCTCCCCTTTTTAAATGCGGGCCACATAGTAGACACTCTACCGATGTTTGGTAAACGAGAATGAGTTGTGCTAGACTGTCACCTGCAGCTTCTGCCTACCCTCCAGGACTCTGAGAGACTTAGGAGAGTCAGCTGTGCGTTTTCCCTCAGTTGTAAATTTTCTGCAGAAGTGGAGCCGACTTTTTGAATTTTTTGAATTCTATTATGATATTGATCCTAGGAAAATACATATTTATTTCATGTATATGTTGTATGTATTTTATGTATAAAATAAATACGTCTTTATTTATTAGAAAGAGTTGGTATCTAGCTATTTTGAATACATGACATACCGATGTTTTATGGTTTTCATAATCTTGGAGAAAAGAACGTATGTTTTTGTCACTTGTTTTATTTAACAGCTAGTGCCTACTCTTAACAATAGTAGAGCAGGAGATGAACATGGTTTTACATAAAATGCAGAGGAAACAAAGGCAGTGCAACCTGCTATGAGGAAAGATGAAGGACTTAGTTTGTAGGTTTCTGTATTAGTCTTGGCTCAACCATTTTTGAGCTGCGTCCCCCCAGGCAAATCACCTAACCTTCCTCTGCATTAGGTTCCTGATGTGTCAGATAAGGAGGATGGACTTAGTCTCTAGAGTCTCATTTGATTCTAAAACGTTTTGATTGTTTCAGTCCCGTTGTTTTGGGCTAAGAAGCAAACTTTCCTCTTCAAGGTGGATTATGTAAGTATACTGAGGGACACTTCCAACATAGATGTGGTTACTAATGAAGACAGACAGCATTGTGAAAGAGGATGGACTTAGCCAGATGTGGATTTGAATTCTCATTTTCCAACTGAATGTTTTTACAGAAATTACTCAACATCTCCAAGCCTCAGTTTTCTCATCTGTGAAATGTGCATAATAATCTCATGGAGGTGTTTGGATTAAATGAGATCAGGAATACTGATCTCAGTATCTGGCATATAGTAAGTGGCTCAGCAATAGGAGTTGCTATCTTTTCATCCACCCATCCCTCGTTTTTCCTCTGATCTGTGAAGACACACTGAAAGATTAGTACATTTGGGAGGACCAACTGAAGGACTCAGATGTGAGGTAGAAAAATTTTGTACCAGTAGTGGCTCCGAAATCTAAAGTAGATTTGCCTTTTGGGCTGATACTTCCTCTCAGGATTGCAGGATCATTGATCCCTTGGCTTCAGTTACCCTTATATCTATTTTTAAAAAAGCTTCTCATTGATGAATGATATACATAACATCCCATCATCTATTTTAGTAGTAATGATGAGATTTGTTCAACTCCACTACCAAGAGAAGATTAATCTATTAATATATTAACATAAAAAGCTAATTTGAACTTTGCCTTTCTTTATCCATCACTGCTGCTGGATGACCTGGTTTTGGTCTAAACCTGTGAAGGTGCTATCTGGATTGAGAACCCAATGAAGGTCTGAGTAATCTTTTGTTGAGAAGGCCATGACTTGTCAGTTTGGATGTGGAGAAAAATGATGTTTTTAAGAAATCTCCAACAAAGACCAGAAATGATTCCCTGAAAAGTGAGGCCTTACATGCTCCCTGGCTGGGATGAACAGTGTCTTCAGGGCCAATAGCAAGGCCACAGCAGAGCTTTGGAGTCAGCTAACTTGAGTGTAAATCCTGACCCTGTCACTAGAGATGTGACTTTGGGCAGGTGACTGAGTATCTTTAAGCCCTGGTTTAAGTATGGATATTAACATTATCTTCCCCTTCGGGTTGGTGTAGAGTGAAATGAGATAATATGTAGAAAGTTTTTAGCACAATGCCTGGAGAAGGGACTTTTCTGACAGTTGGAATGATGACAGCAGGGAATGACTTTGTGCCATACAGTCGGTTCACAGGTAATGATCAATTGGATAGTTTCTAATGGAAAATAATATTTAGAGTTAAACAAATATTGAAGAAGAGAAATTCTGATTTTGATTGCATGTCATAAGGAATTTTTAATTACTCACATAGTTTCGCCAAATTGTATATTTTAACTTTGTGGAGTTTCACAGGCAAGTTTCAAGTAAAGCTAGAAATGAATACTATTTAAAGGCATTGTAATTCTTTAACTTAGCTTCCTATTCCATTGAGATTTTCATTACTGTACTGTAAACCTAGTTGACTGTCCTCATCATTCCTTGCCTTTTCACCTGGTGAGAAAGAGGAAGGAGATTTTACTAAACCTTCTCTGCCATGCTTGATTGCATGGGAGTCCCATCATAGTTCAAATTCAGCCACTGACCATATCAACTTTGGTCCATCATTGATTTAGTCTTCCTAAAACAAACATAGAAGTAAATCCTTGTTCTCTATGTGATCAGAAGCTGATATCAGCGAGGAAGATGAAAAACATTCAAAAAAAGACTTGATGAAAGACACACAGGCAGAGCTGGTCTGGGAACCCATTTTCCTGTCTTACCTGTCTGTTACTCAACTTTTTTTCACTTTAGGTCCAAGATGCTGTCTGCAATTCTTTGCGCTGTGGCCTCTTCCATAGGCATTTTACAGCAAGGCACTTTGTTTCTTTAAGGCCAGTAGGAGATTGTTTGTCATTCAGTCTGCTAATATAAAAGTCTTACATAATGTCATGTAATCATGGGAGTGGTATTCCTTCATCTTTGCTGTATTCTATAGGTTATAGATCAATGAGCTAGAAGTAGATGAAACTTGGTCCTGAGCTATGGAAGATGTTCTCTCTCTAGAGGACCATTCATATTTGAAAATGTTAGGTGCCAAAATAATGCACTGAAGTATGATGATTCACTTTAAATTAGCCTTATTGAAACAACTTTATTAAAGTTTGGTAACTTCCTCTTCTGACACTTCTCTGCCCAATATATAAAAACATGATTAAGGCCCTAACTATCTGAAATTATTTTCCTAAGAGTTAAATAGAGGTCTGTTTATGCCTGTTGTGCCGCATGTATATGTGTGTATTTAAGCTTTTCCACAAAACAGAAACATTTCATGTGCCTGCTTTTGTGCCTTGGACATTACTTTTAAGTACAGAAGGGTCCATTCCTTCCAGGTTCTAACTCTTTCATTCTGAAGGCAGTTTTCCAGGGGTCTGACCTTCAGGAGCATGGTGATAAGGTGACAAGATTTTGGGACAGTATCTGAAAAGCTTGATAGAGACTCCCTAGTGCCCTCCACTTAATAGCTGAATGGCTTTTGGGCAAGACAGTTGAGGAGCTCTGAATCAGATGAGTTTTCTTTTTTCTTTTTCTTTCTTTTTTTTTTTTTTTAGAGGAAGAAAGAAAGAAAGAAAGAGAATAAAAAAAAAGAAAGAAAAAAGAATGAAGGAGAAGAAGAAAGAGGAAGAGGAAGAGGGAAAGAGAACAGGGGTGTTGCTTTATTGCCCAGGCTAGAATGCAGTCTAAAAATGGGTATGCCTGTAATTGTGTTTAATAATAGAGACATTAAAAAAAATGAGGGAAGAAAATAATTAACAAGCAGCCAACCAATATTTCATTTAAATCTATAAATAGGTGTGATGTGGTACTGATAAGAGTGTATATTTTGTGTATTTAAAGTGGAGAGTTCTATAAATGTTAATTAAGTCTACTTGTTCCGGATCTGAGTTCAAGTCCTGGATATTGATGTTAACTTTCCAAGTCTCTTTATAAGTCTTATATATCTGGGTATTCCTGTATTGGGTGCATATATATTTAGGATCTTTAGCTCTTCTTGTTACATTGATCCTTTTATTATGTAATATCCTTCTTTGTTTCTTTTGATCGTTGTTGCTTTAAAGTCTATTTTATCAGCAAAAATTGCAACTCCTGCTTTCTATTTATTTATTTTTGCTCTCCATTTGGTTGGTAAATTTTTCTCCATCCCTTTGTTTTGAGTCTTTGTGTATCCTTGCATGTGAGATGGATCTGGATGTAGCATACCAATGGGTCTTGGCTTTTTTTGCCTGTCTGTGTCTTTGGATTGGGGGATTTAGTCGATTTAAATTGAGAATTAATAACAATATATGTGAGTTTGATACTGCCATTTAATGTTAGCTGGCTGTTTTGCCCATTAGTTGATGCAAGTTCTTAATTATGTTGATGTTCTTTATTTTTTGGTATTTTTTAGAAAGGCTGATACTGGTTGTTCCTTTCTATTTGTAGTGGTTCTTTCAGAAGCTCTTGTAAAGCAGGCCTGGTGGTGATGAAATCTCTTGAGCGCTTGCTTGTTCACAAAAGATTTTATTTTTCTTTCGCTTATGAATCTTAGTTTGGCTGGATGTAAAGTTCTGGGTTGAAAGTTCTTTTCTTTAAGGATGTTGAATATTGGTCCCCACTCTCTTCTGTCTTGTAGGGTTGCTGCTGAGAGATCTGCTGTGAGTCTGATAGGCTTCCCTTTATGGGTAACCTGACCTTTCTCTCTGGCTGCCCTCAGTATTTTCTCTTTCATTTCAACCCTGGTGAATCTGGCGATAATGTGCCTTGAGGTTGGTCTTCTTGAGGAATATCTTTGTGGTGTTCTCTGTATTTCCTGGACTTGAATATTGGCCTGCCTTGCTAGGTTGGGAAAGTTTTCCTGAATAATATCCTGAAGCGTATTTTCCAGCTTGGATTGATTCTCTTCGTCACATTCAGGCACACCTATCAAACGTAGATTAGGTCTTTTCACATAGTCCCATATTTCTTGGAGACTTTGCTCGTTCTTTTTTATCCTTTTTTCTCTAATCTTGTCTTTTTGTTTTATTTCATTAAGTTGGTCTTCGACCTCTGATATCTTTTCTTCTGCTTGATCGATTCGGCTGTTAAAACTTGTGCATCGTTTGCGAAGTTCTCGTGTTGTGTTTTTCAACCATTAATTCACTTATATTCCTCTCTAAACTGTGTGTTATTGTTAACATTTTGTCAAGCCTTTTTTCAAAGTTCTTAGTCTCTTTGCATTGGGTTAGAACAAGTTCTTTTAATTCCCAGAAGTTTCTTATCATCTACTTTTTAAAGCCTGCATCTGCTAATGGAACACAGTCTTTCCCCATCAGCCCTTGTTCCGTTGCTGATGAGGAACTGTGATCCTCTATAGAGGGAGAAGCGTTCTGATTTTGGGTATTCTCAGCCTTTTTAGGCTGGTTTCTTCCCTTCGTTATTAATTTATCCATCTGTGGTCTTTATAATTACCGTCTTTATAGTTGGGTTTCTGAATGGACGTCCAACTTGTTGATTCCTGGCGCTAAAATCTGAGCAACCCACTGTGCCGGCCAAAACAGTGGCTTTAGGATTGATGGCGCTTTTCTGACTCTGCACTGAGAACTGCCGCACCAAGGCAGTGGCAAAACCGCCTCACCGGCCTCAAGAGTTCCGCTGGCGACCCGTGGGGCTCCTCCGCTGGGAATCTCCTGGTGCGTGAGCAACAAAAATTGATCTGAAAGTGTGGCATCCTCTCGTTCTCTGCACTTTCAGTGGGAGCTACAATCCCAAGCTGCTAGTGATCAGCCATCTTGGATCTCTCTTGAGTTTTCTTATAAAGTAAGAATAATAAATCTCAGGTAAGATGACTTATAGTTCAGCTTAATGTGTCACCAGGGGCCTCATAGAAAGAACTTGGGCTTTAGAGTCAGAGATTTATGAGTTGGAATCTTGGTTCTGTAACTGTGTGACTTTTTCAAGTTACTTCTAATCTCAGTCTTAGTTTTCTTGGTAGAAAATGGGATAATTCTTACATTGCAGTGTTGTAATGATCACAATTCTATATATAAAATAACAAGTACTATGCTTGACACTGTAGTAGGTGCTCAGTAGATGAATGACAGTGGTATTCATTTGTCTGCCACTGTTTCCAACCTAGTCTTTCAGGTCCCTGGAGAGATGAGATCTCCCCATTCCCATGTCATCTTAGCCAAAATTCCAACCTCTGTCCTAGGTCGGACTGTTTAATCAGCCACGTGAAACACTGTTGTAAAGATCCTTTGTATGTATATGTAGGAGTTGTTTGTCAGTTCTCAGCACTGGGGTACAGTCTCCATCTCAGTCTGCTTATTTGAGTTTGTTTTCTTTTGGTGACCTCCCTGAGGTCTAGATAGCTCCATACACCTACAATTTCACTAAACAATTATTTATTACATCTTTCCCCTAGACCAAATCACCCCAAGCATCCCTCACTCCCTTCCTTTATCAGGGATCATTCTTTTTTTTCAGATAGTTCTGTGTTTAGTAATATAAGTGGGTGGTGGCCAGGCACTGAATATGTTCTGTATATATTATTAAATTTTAAACATATGAGATTGAGATAGTTATTCCCTTTATATTGTTGAGGACACAGGCTCAAAGAGTTTTAAGTAACTTGCCCAAAGGCCACATACTTATAAGATATTTATTAGAATCCTAATTGAGATCTTTCTGAGTCCAAAACTTACGGTTTTTCTTAGGATACTGGACTTCTGGGGATACCAGGAGGCCCTTTTGGCATATTTATATTTGTGTCTATTTGGACTTTATTATTGTTATTTCTCTGTTTAAAATGTTTACCCAGAGACTTCTAACACTGTGGTAAAGTAACTTACTTTGGCTCTGTGTAATTTGGAATATCTCCCTTAGAAGAAGTTTCCAAAAAATAGATCAGAGTAAGTGACAGATACTCTGTACTTCCCTTCTTCTTCTTTGATTGCTTGGGAGAAGGCCTTTGAAAATTATCATGGGATCTTTTGGTTGGGAGTACCTTGGCATCTTTGATGTCTCATTTATGAAAAAGGCTTTGGGGACCAAAAATGTCCCTGGACTTCACTTTCTTTGAAACTGAATTCTGTGCCCTAGAGATAGGCACTACGTATTCTTTTTACATTTTCAGGAATAATTTTTCACTATTTTGATAATTTTTCATTTGAGAAAATAATTGAATAGTTTCATCATTACTTTGTTCTTATAATAGGGAACATCTTTTTAACATTTTTGTCATTTTTGTTTCCAATACTTTATTTTATTTTAAAATTATGATTAGACAAAAATTTTTTTAGGGATAGACTCACTATGTTGCCCAGGTTGGCCCTGAACCTTGGGCTCAAGCAATCCTGTTGCCTCAACCTACTGAATAGCTGGGACTACAGGTACATACCATGATTCTGGCTTCCAATCCTTTTTGAAAGAAATAGCTAAAACATTATAGCTTTTTGGAATACAGTATTACATGTGTGTTATACAATAATTATACAATTAAGTCAAAGAACAAGAAAACTCCAATAATATCAGGACTCAAACTGCTGTTGTATCATTTACTATTTTAACAGACCTCAGATCATCTAACCTGTAAGCCACAGACATCTTAGGCAATTTTAATCATCAAGAAAGAAATATGTCATTAAGAAACAGTGGGACATTTTGAAAGAGTTGGAAAACATCATGAATTTGAATGCTTCAAGTAATGGCACTGGTGACACCCAAAGGTAAGCCTCTAGTCCCTTCTTGTAGTTGAAGAACACTTTCAGTTGCAAGGAACAGGGAGCAGTCAGTCGTTGGTAGAGCTAATTGTAAGAATTCCAATGGGTATGTTAAGGGGAGTAGAAATTTTGTGGGACTGAAGGAGCATGAATGAAGCCTCACAGGAATTGGAACTGAATCTGGAGACTTTATGGGGTTTTTGTGCTTCTCTATTAATTTGGACCACAAAAGTCCACGTGTCTGAATTTCTTTCTGTTACTAGAGACTTACTTGTTCTTTTCCACTACTCTAAATCTTTCCCTCATATTTTTTATTTATATTTCTGTTTTGTTTTCCTTAACCTCTGTGGCTTTAATTCCTTTCTTCATTGCCCCAGCTTAATTCGGGGTTACTGTATAAGCATTCGTTTATTCCTAGCTTCTGTTGCTGTTTTGCTTCGTTACTTGGTATCTCTCAGTTTACCGTCCAAGAAACAACACCTAATTGCTGTTACTCATCTTTTTTGTACCATCGATTTCTGCCTTTGGGTGTGGCGCCTACCTTTAGTTCATTCACCTTTGGTGGGTGGAGTCTAAATATGAAACTGGACCACTTAGGGCAGTGCCACTCTCTCCTAAGTGTGCTTTACAAAGAAGTAAGTACTGAAATTAAAAGTAAATGTTTAGAAACTTTTATAGTCATGTAACAGAATAATATTCTGTCTGCTGAATCTAAAAATAAAACATTTGGGGTTGTATTCTGTTTTTAAAATTTCTTTAAAAATAATGCATTAATTTTACAAAATCATCACGGGGGTGGGGTGAAGATAGCCCTTCCTCATGTTTAGTTTGAGAAGGAAATATCTAAAACATTATAGCTTTTGATTTTCTTTCATGGTGGGACAAGTACCGTGACTAACATGTACTTTACCCATAAATTTGCTATACAAAGGTTTTCCACTTAGCTTTTGAAGATAACTCCCCGACCCCTTTTTTTGAGACAGAGTCTTGCTCTGTTGCCCAGGTTGGAGTGTAGTAGCATGATTTTGGTTCACTGCAACCTCCATCTCCTGGGTTCAAGTGATTCTCCTGCTTTATCTTCCTGGGCAGCTGGGATTACAGGCGCCTGCCACCACACCCAGCTAATTTTTTTATTTTTAGTAGAGTCAGGGTTTCATCATGTTGGCCAGGCTGGTCTTGAACTCCTGACCTCAAGTGATCCACTTGCCTTGGCCTCCCAGAGTGCTAGGAGTACAGGTATGAGCTACCACGCCCGGCCAGAAGCCACCTTGAACCCCTTCTGGAGCAAGATAGGGGATGAATAAAATATAAATTTTTTTCTTTGCTAAAATTTCATCTTAAAGAGGACTTTTCTTTTTTCAAATGTTGTAAGGGGTGAGTGAGGCTTCATTATTTTGTTCTCTGCCTCCACCTGAGGAATATGGTCCAGAAGCTGCTGAATAGAGGATCATCAGGCCTTCTTGCTCTATTCTATTTTACATAGATTTCATATATATGTATATATGCATGTATATATTTTAATGCAAATAATACATGTGTTTTTAGAAAATTTAGAAAATGCAAATGACAAAACAATGAAGCTATTTGTAATCTTAGCACTTAGAGTTAACTACTAATAACATTTTGGTAAATATTTGTCTAGACTTTAAAAATATCAATATTAAATAAATACATATTTAAAAGTTAGAACATTTCACCTTATTTAGTATCCTGCTTTTTCAAATTTGAAGAAATGTCTTACCACATCAATGCATCATAATTTTTAACTTTTCTGAGGTGGGGTCTTGTTATGTTGCCAATTATGCCCATTTACCAGTTGACAGACATTCGAGTTATTTGTACTTTTTGGATACCATGAGTACCCAAATATGCTACTATGCATATTTGCATATGTCTTTTTGTTGACATATGTTTTTGTTTCCCTTAGTTAGATCCTTAGGAGCAGCTTTGCTGCATCATATAGTAAATTTATGTTAAAATTTTCAAGAAACTGCCAAATTGTGTTCTAAAGTGATTGGGTCATTTTATATTATCATAGCAATATATGAGAATTTTAGTTTCCCTACATCCTGACCAACACTGGTTTTTATCTGACTTTTTCGATTGAGCCATTTTGGTGAGTATGAAGTTGTATGTTATTGTGGTTATAATTTGAATTTTCCTAATGATTAATGATGTTGAACATCTTTGTATATGCTTTTTGGTCATTCATATATCTTCCTTGGTGAAATGTTTATTCAGATCTTTTGTTTATTTTTAAATTGTTTTATTTATTTTCATGTTATTGAGTTTTAAGAGTTTTTTATATATTCAGAATGCAAGTCCTTTATCACATATATGATTTGCTGGCCTGGTGCAATAACTCATGCCTGTAATCCCAGCACTTTGCTTGGCTGAGTGGGATGAATCGCTTGAGCCCAGGAGTTCAAGACCAGCCTGGCCAACATGGCAAAACCCTATCTCAGCAAAAGAATACAAAAATTAGCCAGGCTTGGTGGCATGTGTGTGTGGTCCCAGCTATGCTGGAGGCTGAGGCATGAGAATTGTTCGAACCTGGGAGGCAGAGGCTGCAGTGAGCCAAGATAGTGCCACTGCATTCGAACCAGGGTGACAGAGGGAGATTTTCTCTCAAAAACAACAAAAAATAAGATATATGAATATTTTTTCCTGTTTAGTGGCTTGACTTTTCATTTTCTTAATAATGTCTTTGGAAATGCACAAGTTTTTAACTTTGACGAAGTCCAGTTTATCAATTCTTTTCCTATAGGAGTTGTGCTTTTGGTTTTGTATATAAGAAATCTCTGAATAACTTAAGGTCATGAAGATTTTTCTTCTATGTTTTCTTCTAGAAGTTTTATAATTTTAGCTCTTATATTTAGTGCTCTATTTTAAGTGACTTTTTGTGTATTTCTTGAGGTAAGGGTCTAAATTTGTCTTTTTGCATGTGGATAGCCAGTTGTTCCAGCAGGATTGTTGACAAGACTAACCTTTCCTCTTTGGTACTTCTGTTGAAAATTACTTAACCATGGCCAGGTGTGGTGGCTCACACCTGTAATCCCAGCATTCTGGGAGGCTGAAGTGGGCGTATCACAAGGTCAGGAGTTTGAGACCAGCTTGACCAACATGGTGAAACCCCATCTCTACTAAAAATACAAAAATTAGCCGGGTGTGGTGGTGTGCACCTGTAATCTCAGTTACTCAGCAGGCTGAGGCAGGAGAATCGCTTGAACCCAGGAGGCGGAGGTTGCAATGAGCCGAGATCACACCATTGCACTCCAGATCACATCACTGCACTCCTGCCTGAGCGACAGAGTGAGACTGGGTTTATTTCTAGAGTCTTAATGCTGGTATATTGATCTACACGTTTGTTCTTAATCCAATACCACATTGTCTTGATTACCGTAGCTTTATAATAAGCTTTGAAATTAGGAAGCAAAAGTTTTCTCATTTGTTCTTCTTCGAGATTGTTTTGGCTATTTTGAATTCTTTGTCTTTCCATTTGAATTTTAGGATCAGCTTTTCAGTTTCTGCAAAAATGTGTGTTGGGGTTTTAATAGGGATTATATTGAATATGTAGATTAATTTGGGGAGAATTGCCATTTTAATAATATTGAGTTTTCCTTACATGCATGTGACTATGGAATGTCTTTCCATTTGTTTAGCTTTTCAACTTCTTTCGACAACATTTTGTATTTTCGATGTAAAAATCTTTCACTTTTTTTTTTTTTTTTCTGAGAAAGAGCCTTGCTCTGTTTCTCAGGCTAGAGTGCAGTGGCATGATTTTAGCTCACTGCAGCTTTGAACTCCTGAGCTCAAGTGATCCTCCTGCTTCAGCCTCCTGAGTAGTTAGACTACAGGCATGTACCACCATGCCCGGCCAATTTTTTTATTTTTTATTTTTTTATTTTTTTTGTAGACACAAGATCTTGCTGTGTTTCTCAGGCTGGTCTTGAACTCCTGGCCTCAAGCGATCCTCCTGCTTTTTCCGAAGTGCTGGGAAAGAAAGACATGAGCTATCATACCTAGCCTTTTTATTTCATTAAAATTGTATATTGCATCAATTAATTTTGAGATGTCATACCAATTTTATGTTTTTGGGATATATCCTGCTTAGTCACATTATATAATCTTTTTAAGATGTTGCTGCATTTGGTTTGCCCATTTTTTTTTTAAGAGATGAAGTTTTACTCTGTCTCCTAGGCCATTGTTCAGTGGTGATCATAGCTCACTGCAGCCTTGAACTCCTGTGCTCAAGTGCGCCCCCCACCTCAGCCTCCCAAGTAGCTGGAACTACAGGTAGTCCCAGCTACTTGGTTTGCTAATGTTTTTTGAGGATTTTTCTGTTTGTATTCATGAATGATATTAATCTGTTTTCCTTTCTTGTGATAACTTAGTCTAGTTTTGGTATTAGAGTAATGCCAAATTCATAGAATGAATTGGTAAGTGTTCCCTACCGTTATGTAAAGATTGGTATTATTTTTTCTTTACATGTTTGGTAGAATTTGCCAGTGAAGCTATCTGTGCTTGAGCTTTCTGTGTGGTTAGATAATACCATATCTTTATCTGTTATAGATCTATCCAGATTTTTAATTTAGTTTCAGTAATTTGTGTTTTTTTAGAAATTCATCTATTTGATCTGAATTGTTTAATTTGTTGGTATAAAGTTGTTCAGAATATTCTTTTATAATCGTTCTAAATAGTAATGTTTCCTCCTTCATTCTTTATTTTCATAATTTGAGTTTTTTTCTTTTTTTTTTTTAATTTAGCCAAACGTTTATTAACTTTATTGCTCTTTTCAAAGAACCAAATTTTGGTTTCATTGATTCTCTCAGTTTTATTTTAGCCTTATTTAAAAAATTTAAGTTGTATGTGCACATTATTTAAATAATCCATTGTGCTATAAAGTTTATTAAGTGACATTACAGAAAACAGCATTACTAATTTCTTTGAGGCAAATCCACTTTCTAGATTCTAAAAAACAATCATTTTTTCAACTCTCTGAGGTATTTTTCATCTCTCAAATTTTTTTTCCGTGTTGCTGATTGCTTTTTTTTAGTTTTATCTGTTATCTACTGACTTCTTGCACAGAAGATCATAATTTAGTTTTCATTCCTGCCTGTTTCCCTTCCTGTTCTCTACATTTAGTGATATTGTAATCTTAGATTATTCAATGTTTATATTATTATAATTATGAAACCTTTTAAGTTGAGCCTATGTAGTAGTATTCAGTGAGTATTCAGTGACTTTTTTTCTTTCTTGTACATTTTATTTTGCTTGGATTTAATAATTATCTGGTTTCTTATTTGGTTCGTTTGCTTAGTTTCTATGAACTTATCAGGAATTTAACTTTGCTCCAAACAAATTACATAAACCTCTCTATGTTTTTTGTTTCCTCCTCCTCCTCCTCTTCTTCCTCCTCCTCCTCCTTTTCCTCCTCCTCCTCCTCCTCCTCCTTCCTCTTCTTTTTAAGACAGGGTTTCATTCTGTCCCCCAACTGTAGTGCAGTGGCACAATCATGACTCACTGTAGTCTTGACCTCCTGGGCTCAAGTGATCCTCCTGCTTTGGCCTCCCAAAGTGTTGGAGTTACAGATGTGATCCACTGCACTTGGTGTATTTTCATCTTCTTAAAGAAATCACTACTAGGGGCTTTGACCAGTCCCACTGGGACAGATTTCCCTTTAAGTGCTTTGCTGTACAGGTGTCATCTTAGTATTTCATACTCTCATCACTATCCCGGAAATCCCTCTGTTGTTTTCTTGTGTTGAGTACTCTGCTTCTAGAATCCCATGTCTTTCTTTTTCTCATTTTGGTCCTTATTTTGATAGAGTAAATATCCCATTAGCCTTCTGAGAAAGTTCATGGGAGATAAATATTTTGAGGCCTAGCAGATCTGAAATTGTCTTTGTCATAGTCTTTCCTTTGGATGATAATTTGTTGGGTATAAAATTTTAAGTTAGAAATGGTTTTTTCCTTGGAATTTTGTCAAGTATTGCAGCATTATTTCCTAATTTTCAGTGTTTCTGTGGAAAAATGATGTCACATGTTTTAAAAACTTTTATTTTAGGTTTAGGAGTACATGTGCAGGTTTGTTACATAGGCAAATTCGTGCTATGGGGATTTGTTGTACAGATTATTTAATCACCCAGATACTAAGCCCAGTACGCAATAGTTATTTTTCTGCTTCTCTCCCTGCCCCAACCCTTTACCCTGAAGTAGTCCCCAGTGTCTGTTATTTTTTTCTTTGTGTCCATGAGTTGTCATTTAGTTTCCATTTATAAGTGAGAACACATGGTATTTGTTTTTCTGTTCCTGGGTTAGTTTGCTAAGGATAATGTCCTCTAGCTCTATCCATGTTCTCACAAAAGACATGATCTCATTCTTTTTTATGGCTGCATGGTATTCTATGCTATTTATGTACTACATTTTCTTTATCCAGTCTGTCATTGATGGGCAGTTAGGTTGATTCCATATCTTTGCTATTGTGGATAGTGCTGCAGCAGACATTCGTATACATATATTTTTATGGTAGAATGATTTATATTCCCTCTGGGGGTATACCTAGTAATGGGGTTGCTGGGTTGATTAGTAATTCTGTTTTAAGCTCTTTGAGAAATCACTATGTTGATTTCCAGAATGGGTGAACTCATTTATATTCCTATCAACAGTGTATAGGAGTTCCCTTTTCTCCTGCAACCTTGCCTCCATCTATTATTTTTTTGACTTTTTAATAGTAACCATTCTGACTGGTGTGAGTTGGTATCTCATTGTGGCTTTGATTTGCATTTCTCTAATGATCACTGATACTGAGCTTTGCTTCATATGCATGTTGGCTGCATGTATATCTTCTTTTGGAAAGTGTCTTTTTATGTCCTTTGCTCACTTTATAATGGTTTTTTTCCTTGTAATTTTGTTTAAGTTGCTTTTAGATGCAGTATATTAGACCTTTGTCGCATGTATAGTTTGCAAATATTTCTTTCCCATTCTTTAGGTTGTCTGTTTACACTGTTGATAGTTTCTTTTGCCATGAAGAAGCTCTTAAGTTTAATTGGATCTCATTTGTCAATTTTTTCTTTTGTTGTGATTGCTTCTGGTATCTTGGCATGACATCCTTGCCCATTCCTGTGTCCAGGATGGTATTGCCTAGGTTATCTTTCAGGGATTTTTATAGTTAAACATATTTCTTAATCTTTTGTATAAAACTTATTTATTTCTCTCTGGACTTTGGGGGAACTACTTTTTGTTCCCTGTTTTCTGAAATTTCCATGCATTTAACCTGGACTCTTTAATAGGCCCTTTCTGTTTGAAACGTATATCCTTCAGAATCTGCATTATTTCCATGGATTTTTTTCTTTAACAGTTTCCTCCCCTTCAGAGAGACATTATAGTGCAGTGGTTAAGAGGACATATCACGGAGCCAGGCTTTCAGGGTTTGAATTTCAGCTTTGCCCCTCATTAGCCCTGCGAACATGGGTAATAGGGGTCATAATGGTACCAATCTCATGGGATTATTCTGAAGAATAAATAATTTTATATTATGTAAAATGCTTAGCACAATGCTTACAAAATAATAAGACTATTTAATGTTTTAAATTTATATTTTCTCATTCTGCTCCTTTATTTAGATTTTGAACTTCTTGGACGGTCTTTTAATTTAAAATTTTTTCTGTTTTTCATCTCTGTCTCTTTTTCCTTTATTTTCTGGGAGATTTTTTCTTTTATATTTATTTATTTAGTTTTTAATTTTTATTTTTACTTTTTTTGAGATGGAGTTTTGCTCTTGTTGCCCAGGCTTGAGTGCAATGGTGCGATCTCAACTTACTCCAACCTCTGTCTCCCGGGTTCAAGCAATTCTCCTGTCTTAGCCTCCTGAGTAGCTGGGATTACAGGCATCCACCACCATGCCCGGTTAATTTTTATATTTTTAGTAGAGATGGGGTTTCATCATGTTGGCCAGGCTGATCCTGAACTCCTGACCTCAAGTGATCCACCTACCTCAGCCTCCCAAAGTGCTGGGATTATAGGCATGAGCCACCGTGCCTGGCCTGTGTTTTTGATTTTTAAGAGCTGTTTTTTTTTTTTTTCTCTGAATATTTTATTTCTCATTGCAGTCATGAATGTGATATTATGGATGTTATACTCTCTTCTGTTTTTTTTAGAAGACAATATTAGTTTCTTTTTTTCTCCCTCTTTTAAGTTGTCATCTTTCTGCATAGTCTTTCAGGGAATGGTTCTTTCCATACACCTTATTTTTGGTCTCTGTTTATCATATTAGATGCTTCCTAATCTTTTGGTGACCCTTGGCTGTCTGCTTATATTGAAAAGTAGGGGCTTAACCTAAAAAGATGACTGGAGAAACAGTGTGTGAGGCTGTGTTTTTGTGGCATGCTCTGTAGGATTATATGGTTAAACTGCTTTGCTACAGAACCACTGGCATTAGTATCTTTAGGTATTTTTCACCTGCTGCTTGGGTTCTGTAGGGAAGGCACTTCCAGGCACTGCTTGGCTGCCATTGTTCTGGCAAGATAAGTAGTGTTAAAACTCTGGAGCTTTCATTCATTATATAACTTTTAACTCAAGCTGCTTGTATGTGGTATGAAAAACTTATATCATTTATATCTAATATCTACTGATCCAGAGACCCTCTGTTTCATCCTCTCCAGGGAATAAACCCTTAGTGTTTTTCTGCCGGACTGGGGAAGAGATAGGTACCCAGTTGTGTGGTATATGGGATAGGGGATCTGAAGATCTAATTATTTTGTTGGCAACCTTTTAGATAATTCTCCTGTTTTCTGCTCTGCGTTTACCCCCATTTTCAAAGATGTTGACAATTACTGAGCTTTTGGGAGTTATCAGTCACCAAATGTCCACATGCATTTCTGCTTCCAATATTTTATTGCTATTATCTCATCTTTTGTGTTCTTTCTCTTGTGAGTTTATACCTCTGAATTCTGTTTGCTGTTTATTTTTATTTTTGGGAGAGAGTGGTGTGCTTTACTCTGACTTTTTTCTTTTGGCGTTACGTATTACATTTGCAGTAAGTAAAATGAGTTATTTAAAAAGAAAAAGAATGGGAGAACCCAGTCTCTTCCAAAATTATCCAGCTTGTGATATGATCAGAAGTACCAATCTTGAATAATGTGGTAATTTCCCATTAGGCAGTGGTTTGTTGCTAGGTATATATCTATATATATATTACTTTGTATTTCTACATAGCTTTTGCAGGGGGCATCTTTTACTAGGTTGTGAAATTCTCTAAGTCAAGAACCATGTCATGTTCTCTCTGTTTTTTGAAAAATAAGTTATCAGAAATATCAGAAATTCTCTGAAATATGCTTTATGAGAAGCACATACGTTTTACTATAATCTCATTTTATAGGTTGAAGAATGCCTCATCAGATGTAAAACAAATGCTTAAAAATGAAACAGAGCTGGATATTATTGCTGATCTCAGAAAGAAACTCCATCGGGCTAAAAAAGAAAAATTAGAAATAACAACAAAACACAATGCAGAGGTACAATTTATTTTCCTCTCAAATAATGTTAAAAGCTGAATTTGATTTTTTAGATTTATTTCATATGACAAATTCCATGTTTAACCTTCAGAACTATACCATTCTTGTGCTTAAGAAGAAAATTGTAATAAAGAAAACATGATTTTTAAATGTAGTATAATTGCATCAGAGTGTTCAAGTGGAACTTGAATGAATTATTATGTTTATTTGTATGTTATCTTAGATTTATTTTAGTTAATGGGATCAACTGATTAAAAATATTAATTCATGAACATGTTTGACGATAAAGGATTTGTAAATCAGACATTTTTGAAATCATAACATAGGTTCCTTTAATGTCTCAATTATGGAACAATCTCTGAAGTAAATTTGAGAATGGAATTTTTAATCATAGTTCAATTCACAAATTAGCTTAGTTTATAAGTCATTATTTCTTTGTTAGTATGTAAATGTGTATACATATATATATTTTATATGTATAAGTATATATTCCGAGATAGTAGTTTTCCTTCCCTTCTAAGATAATTCATAAGTCATATCTTTAAGCCTCTCTCTCTGTTGTGTTCTTTCTCCTCTTTCTCTGTTAAATCTTATTTATTCTTAAAACTCAGTTTAGGCCACCTGGTGTAGTGAAGAATATCAAATTACACAGAGCTCAATTCATTTCTGGCCTTTCCATTTGCAAGATGCGTCATCTTGGACTACTTATTTATCCTGTATACCATTGGTTTCTCATTGTGAAATGCTGGTCCCAAAGGGTTGTTGTGACAATTAAGTGAAATAAAATTTGGAAAGTACTTGTGTACTGTAAGAGTAGCTGTAATTTATTGACAGTTAAGTGTAAACAGTATCTTTTCTTCCCTTTTTGCTAAGTTCTGCTGTTCTCATGTTGGGAAACCTTGTAATGTCTTTCTCAGTGAAACCAGCTACTACTTTACTCTTCTACAGAATGTTGCTGTTTCAGATATTTTAGAACTAAAACATTTATATCATGCTTCCCTGCTCTTCTTTAGTTTGTAAACCCTCTGAGAGCTCAAAACAGTGACCATACTTTGTCTCTATATTGCTGATGTTTACTGGCACATAGTAGGCTCTCAGTGGTTGTGTGTTGAATAAATGTATGAAAAGGGTCAGGTGCAGTGGCTCATGCCTATAATTCCAGCACTTTGGGAGGCCAAGGTGGGTGGATCAGTTGAAGTCAGGAGTTCGAGACCAGCCTGGCCAACATGGTGAAACCCCGTCTCTACTAAAAATACAAAAATTAGCTGGGCCTGGTGGCACATACCAGTAATTCCAGCTACTTGGGAGGCTGAGGCAGGAGAATCACTTGAATTGGAAGCCGGAGCTTTCAGTGAGCTTAAATTGTGCCACTGCATTCTAGCCTGGGCAACAGAGGAAACTCCATCTCAAAAAAGAAAAAAAATGAAAGGATGATTTTTTTCTCAGGGTATATAAGGAGCAGTGGTATCACTGATTAAAATAACAAGAGATGAATACATGATCATTCTTTTTGTATTTTTTAGTAGCAATTGAGGTAATTTTTTTCTTTTTCTTTTTTGAGACCAAGTCTCACTGTCGCCTAGGCTGGAGTGGATTGGTGCAATCTCAGGTCACTGTACCCTCTGCTTCCAGATTCAGGTGATTGGAGAATCACTTGCCTCAGCCTCCCCATTAGATGGGATTACAGGCACTCGCCACCATGCCTGGCTAATTTTGTATTTTTAGTAGAGACAGCGTTTCCTCACATTGGCCAGGATGGTCTTTAACTCCTGACCTCAGGTGATCCACCCACCTCAGCCTCCCAAAGTACTGGGATTATAGGTGTGAGCCACCATGTCTGGCCCAATTGAGGTAATTTTTAAGTGATAATTGAAGTAATTGTTTCTATTTACATTGTAATAATCATTATAAAGTGATATGTGTTAAATGTATGCTAATTATTCATAAATTCTAAAACTTATTTTTTGAAACCAAATGTACATTTTACTTGAGAGTATTAGTGTCATGATAATCATTCTTCTATTAAATAAATTCTTTCGCAGCTGGGTGTGGTGGCTCATGCCTGTAATCCCAGCACTTTGGGAGGCCAAGGCAGGATTGCTTGAGCCCAGGAGTTCGAGACCAGCCTGGGCAACAGAGTGAGACCTTGCATCTATAAAAAATAAAATAAAAATAATATTCTTTCACAATATGTTTATAGTTGTCATTAGGCTTCTCAGCAGAACACACACATTTATTTGATCAAAATGTTTTGAAATATATGTTCACATTAAAGAGGTAGCAAATTATCTTAGGGAAGGCAGACAGTTTTCTTAAAATAGGATAATTAGTTCAACTCCAGATTTATATTACTAATTATTATTATTTTTTTCAACCTTCCCTCCCCTCCCCTCCCTTCCCTCTTCCACCCTCTCCTTTCAAGTGTACCCATCACGAAGCAAAACAGAGAGGAATACAGTCATCTATAAACTAAGGCCATATTTCCCTTATCAGATATTCCTAATGCTAACACAAATAATGCAGGGTGATTGGTACAAAATATTTAAAAATACTTCTCTAGGAGTTTTATTGTTGTGAGATCTTGGGCAAGTTACTTCATTTTTCTGAGCTAGAAGTTTGTTTGGTAGGTATTCAAATAACAAATTGCTGTTGAGAAGATTTATTAGTAGATAGAGGGCATGGGGAGAAGGGTTGCTTATAGACTCATAGGTTCCAGATGAGACTAAGTTGCATTGATGTAGATGATTGGGATGGGAAAATGCCATAAAGTTTTCATTATTGCAGTGGTTTTTAGACTCATTTGAGCATAACAATAAAGTTGTGGAAAATAGGACAAGAAGAATGTGAAGCTATTCAGCTATCTGGCCCAGATAGTGGTGACAGATCAAGAAAATCCAGATAAATGAGGAAGGGAGAGGGTAAAGAAGAGTGGCATAATTTCTTCTTTTTTTTTTTTTTTTTTTTTTTTTTTTTTTGAGATAGGGTCTTGCTTTGTCACCCAGGCTGGAGTGCAATGGCATGATCTTGGCTCACTACAGCCTCAACCTCCTGGATTCAAGTAATCTCCTGCCTCAGGCTCCCAAGTAGCTGGGAATACAGACACATGCCACCATGCTCAGCTAATTTTTTGTATGTTTAGTAGAGGTGTGGTTTTGCCATGCTGCCCAGGCTGGTCTTGAACTTCTGGGTTCAAGTGATCCACCTACCTTGGCCTCCCAAAGTGCAGGGACAATAGGTATGAGCCACTGTACCCAGCTGACATAACTTCTTTTAGCCAAAAAATACTGGAAATTTAGGACTATCTGTAGGCTTCATGGCCTGAAGATAGTATCTGACACAGCCAGTACTCTTAATAGCAGGGATTCTTAAGCTAGAGTCCTCAGAAAGATAAATCAAGGAATCTGTGAACTTGGATGGGGAAAAGTTATAATTTTATTTTTATTAACCCCTAACTGATATTAAGCATTTCCTTCAGTTCTGAAGGGCTTGACCTACCCAGTCCTCCTTTTAACAAATCATAGAGTGTTTGCAGTACTTTTGAGTATCATCAACTGAAATCACAGATACATGTCCCATTTTAGAAATTACAGCTACAGGACAGGTGCTGTGGCTCACGCCTGTAATCCCAGCACTTTGGGAGCCTGAGGCGGGTGGATCACTTGAGGTCAGGGGTTTGAGACCAGCCTGGCCAACAGCCTGCCTCTACTAAAAATACAAAAATTAGCTAGGTGTGGTGGTATGCTCCTGTAATCCCATCTACTTGGGTGGCTGAGGTGGGAGAATAATTTGAACCTGGGACGCGGAGGTTGCAGTGAGCAGAGATCACACCCCTGAACTCAAGCCTGGGCAACAGAGTGAGACGCTGTCTCAAAAAAATAAAAAAAGAAATTATGGCTACATATCACATATTATATTTCAGTTATTGTGTGTGTGTTTGTATATTTGTTGTTGTTTTAAATCTTTTTTTAGAGACAGGGTCTTGCTGTATTCCCCAGGCTAGTGTGCAGTGATGTGATCATAGCTCCTTACAGCCTGGAACTCCTGGGCTCAGGTGATTTTATGCTTCAGCCTCCCAAGTAGCTAGGACTATAGCACCTGGATCATTTATTTTTATTATTATTTGTAGAGATGGAGTCTTGTTGTGTTTCGCAGTTTGTGTCAAACTCCTGGCCTCAAGCAACCTTCTCTCATCAGCCTCTCAAAGTGCTGGGATTACAGAAGTGAGCCTTTGCACCTGGATAGCATTTTAATTTTAAGTAATGTACTTTGTGCGCTTGAAGAGGATGTAGTCAGGGAAAAGGGAGGCTTTGGTTTGCCTCTGTATTGTGTCAGGAAAGTACTGGTATTTTGACTTTATGAAATGATTGTAGGCCAATGTTGAATTCAATTTTCAGTCAACCATCCAAGCAAAACTGTTAGAGTTAACTTACAAAATCCACATCAATCTTGTACATGTTCTCCACGTTCCTGTGAATACAAGATTAGCAAGATCTTTCAGTTCTTCTGCTATATAAGCTGTTTCCTCCTGGAGCAGACTGCATTTTTCCTTCTGTAGCATACTGAGATCTGAGTCAATCTGTGGTGACACAGCAGTGTAGGTGGCTCTTGGAAATTCTCTTGCAAGGCAGCTGCTTCAGGTATAGTCATTACTAAATCTTTCAGCAAGGAAAGGCTGGTTACCTCAGTCAGGAAGGAGGGACAGCTTTTTTTTTTTTTGGTAAGGAATGTTCAGGGGGATTTGAGAATTCATAGTTTTTAGGTTTGTTTAATTCTAAAAATCCTCATCCTATGTTCTTCCTTCCTACTTAAAACCCAGCTAACTTTGGGAGGCCGAGGCAGGCGGATCACAAGGTCAGGAGTTCAAGACCAGCCTGGCAACATGGTGAAACCCCATCTCTACTAAAAATATAAAAATTACCTGGGCATGGTGGTGGATGCCTGTAGTCCCAGCTGCTTGGGAGGCTGAGGGAGGAGAATCACTTGAATCCGGGAGGCAGAGGTTGCAGTGAGGCGAGATTGTGCCACTGGACTCTAGCCTAGGTGACAGAGAGAGACTCCATCTCAAAAAAAAAACCAACAAAAAACCCCAGCTGATACCATCTTAACAGTAGATACTTGGTGAAACTCTTCATTGAACTTGTAATTTTGCATTTCCAATAATTAGATTTTCAGGTTTGTTTATAACCTTATCTGCCCTGGGGCTATAAGAAATAAGCAGTTCTTTAAAGTCACCATAAAAACTCTGGTTTTCTGACTGTCTTATACTGCGATTCTAAAGCTCTGAGATTATCATTTTGTTTTTGTAAATTCTCTAGTATAGTGAGATTTAGCTTTTCTACCCTATAGGCCTTATAGTAAAACAGTACTGCCATCATAGTTAAGTGCGTTCATTACTTCAGTTTTTGAAGGCTTGTTTTCAACTGGCACTTCATCCTAAACAACTGCACACCATAATTTAAAGAACTGTGGTCCCACTCTATGCTGTAGATCACTGAATCCCATTTTTATCTGCAAAGAGGCTTTCACTGTGTTCAGGCTTAAATATGTCAGCCATCCAATATTTACCCGTCTTGAGACAATTTCTGATACCAAGAGCAATATTACTGGATGTCCAGTTAGGAAAACAGAAACCATTCTAAGTCTTACAACAAAGGGACATTAGTAGTGGGTATTGGTTACATAGGTAGGTACTAGAAAAGCTGAAAAGACAACTAGAGGAGATTAAGGCAACCCAACAACATTAAGAACTGCTTCTATTCCCAAGGTTGATTAGAGCTAGAATTGGAAAAAGCAAGGCCTATGGAGGGAGGGACTATCCATAAGGATTTGCAGCCACAGACAAGACAGGAATAACTGCTTGAGGTAGATCTCGAGAGGCAGAAATATCTTGGCTTCTTCACTTCCCTTCCTGTCAGTCACTCCACATGTGCCTCCCATTGATCTAACCTATTGAGAAGCCAATTGTCTCTGACCTATTATCTTCTGTCAAGCTACTTCATGAATACAAATATCACAAATTAGATATTTGATTACTTAAATCCATATAAAATGGACACTTTTATGACTTTATCATCAGTGATGTTATAATCAAGAGAAATAATATAGACCATATTTATTAAACTATATGTTGATGCAATTTGTTTATTGGTTTCATTTAGGGAATAAAAGGAGAGGAAAGAATGAATTTTTAAGTGCTTAGTATGTATCATGCATTTTTTTGTTTTTTAGTATTAATACTCTTTTCTTCTTCTTCTTTTTTTTTTTTTTTTGTGAGACAGTCTTGCTCTCTTCTTCAGGATAGAGTGCAGTGGCGTGGTCTCTGCTCACTGTAACCTCCGCTTCCCAGGCTCAAGTGATCCTTTCATCTCAGCCTTCCGAGTAGCTAGGATTACAGGCACACACCACCATGCCTGGTTAATTTTTGTATTATTACTTTTTTGTATAGAGACAGGGTCTCTCCATGTGGCTTGGCCTGGTCTTGAACTCCTGGGCTTAAGTGATCTGCCTGCCTTGGCCTTCCAAGGTGCTGGGATTATAGTTCGTGAGCCACTGGGTCTGGCCTTTTATTAAAAAAAACAAAAACAATAACAAAAAAACCCCAAAACAACAGTGTTTTCTTTTGTTATTTTTTTCTTTTATTTTTATTTGTTTATTTTTTAGACAGGATCTCTTTCTGTCATCCAGGCTGGAGTGCAGTGGTGCGGCCTCTGCTCACTGTAGCCTCCACCTCCTGGGCTCAAGCGATCCTCTCACCTCAGCCCCCTAGGTAGTAGCTAGGACTACAGGTATGTACCACCATGCCTGGCTAATTTTTTTTTTTTTTTTTTTTTTTTTTTTTTTTTGGTAGAGATGGGATTTCACCATGTTGCCCAGGATGGTCTCAAACTCCTGGCCTCAAGCAGTCCTCCCACCTTGGCCTCCCAAAGTGCTGGGATTGCAGAAGTGAGCCACCATGCCTGGCCAAGGTGTGACTATTTCTGATTAAACATGTAATTTATTTTTATTTTTATAAAAAGTTCTTATAAGATTTTTTGGATTCTTTTCTCTAGTGAATTCTCTAAAATAATAAATAAATAAATAAATAAATAAATAAACTTAATGAGTGTCATTTTGCAAGGTAGTGCTTTTTTTTTTTCCAGTGATTCTGAATATATAAATTTATAAATTTTTGCCTTGTATATATTATGGAAACAAGTTTCTCTAGGAAACTTACATGTTTGAGTGTATGATCTCATAATCTGTGGACACATGTTGATACCAGAAATCTGTTTTTAGCTGGCATGCTATGAGAGCCAGATTGCCAAGCTACGGTCCGAGGTTGAAAAAGGAGAAGCGTTGCGACAAAGTCTGGAGTATGACCTAGCTGTTGCTAGAAAGGAAGCTGGTTTTGGAAGACGGGCTGCTGAAGAAAGATTAGCCGAGGAACATAGGATCCAAGAAAAACTCTATGGTAAGACTGTTTCTGTTTCTTCCCATGTTTAGATTGTAGCCTGATTGGATATCACTGCTTGCTGTTGTGTGTACATCCCATATGGGGTCAGAGGTAGGGTTTTGATTCATTGACTGGCCTTTGATGCACAGACTTTGCTGGGAACATATAAAAAGTATTCTGGCAATTTTGTGAACATTTAACTACTTTAGATTAATTTTTTTATTCTGTGGAAAAAGAAGTTCAAAATTCTCTTAGTTACTTTTTAGAAGCACTTCTTCCATGAATAATCAAAAGAATCATAAAGAGATTTTTGTTTGTTTGTTTTAAATATATATTCTAGGCTCCCCATCACATGTAATCTGAATCCAAATCTCTGGCTGGAGAATCTGTATGTTCAAGAAGTGCTGCCTTTTTTGCTGATTTTGCCAGGTTTAGAAACCACTGGACTAGAATGTGGTACCTGGAAAAGAAAAAGGCACTGGATTTAATCCTCAAAACCTATCTGTTTTATAGCCCTTGGACTTAAATAAACCCTTTCTATTTACATATAATATATAAAAATAAATGTGCCTAGATAGCTGTATCACTTATAACAAGCACTCAGATCATGGAACAGAAAGTGATTAGAAGCCCTTTTGCATGGATAACTACCATACAGGTTTTTAATAGTGTGCATTCATTTTGCCACTTTTTTTGTGCTTTATATGAATGGGATCATATAGTATATATTCTTTTGTTTCTGGCTTCTGTCCTCCAACATTATGTTTTTGAAATTCATGCATACTGTATGAGAGCTTTGTATTGATATATAGTATTTTATTGTGTAAACATCCCACACTTTTATTTATCAATTTATTATTGATGGGCATTTGACTAGTGTCCAGTTTTGTATTATTAAGAATAATGTTGATATGAACATTCCTGTACACAGCAGGTTTTAATTAAGAGAACACTGAATGTGAATTCAGATTTAGATTTAGGTCCTGGTTTTACCACTTACTGACTGATCATTTGAACATAGGCTGTTTTAAGGATGAAATGAGAAAATGAAAGTGCTTTGTTATGGAACAAAAAGAGCCCATGTAAGTGAAAAGAACAAATCTGGAGGCATCACATTACCTGACTTCAAACTATACTACAAGGCTATAGTTACTGAAACAACATGGTACTGGTATAAAAATAGGCATGTAGACCAATGGAAAAGAATAGAGTACCCAGAAATAAAGCCAAATACTTACAGCCAACTAATCTTTGACAAAGCAAACACAAACATAAAATGGGGAAAGGACATCCTATTCAGCCAGCAGTATGGGGATAGTTGGCAAGCCACATGTAGAAGACTGAAGCTGAATCCTTATCTCTCACCTTATATAAAAATTAATTCAAGATGGAACAAAGACTTAAATTTAAGTCCTGAAACCATAAAAATTCTAGAAGATAATATCATAAAAACTCTTCTAGACATTGGCTTAGGCAAAGAGTTCATGACCAAGATCCCAAAAGCAAATGCAACAACAACAAAGATAAATAGATCTTTAAACTAAAATTAAACTAAAAAACTAATCTAAAAAGGTTTTGTACAGCAAAAGAATAGCAGAGCAAATAGACAACCCACAGACTGGGAGAAAATATTTACAAACCATGCATCTGACAAAGGAGTAATATCCAGAATCTATGAAGAACTCAAATCAGCAAGAAAAAAACAATTCTATCAAAAAGTGGGCAAGAAACATGTATAGACAATTCTCAAAAGAAGATACACAGATGGCCAACAAACATATGAAAAAATGTTCAATATCACTAATTATCAGGGACATCCAAATCAAAACCACAATGAGATACCACCTTACTCCTGCAAGAAAGGCCATAATTGAAAAACAAAAAAATAACAGCTGTTGGCATGGATGTGGTAAAAGGGAACACTTTTACAGTGCTGGTGGGAATGTAAACTAGTGCAATCACTATGGACAACACTATGGAGATTCCTTAAAGAACTAAAAGTAGAACTACCATTTGACCCAGCAATCCCACTACTGGGTATCTTCCCAGAGGAAAAGAAGTCATATGAAAAAGACATATGCACACGCATGTTTACAGCAGCACAATTTTCAATTGTAAAAATATGGAACCGGCCTAGAAGCCCATCAACCAATGAGTGAATAAAGAATATATGGTATATATATACATCAAGGAATACTATTGAACCATAAAAAGGAATGAAATAGTGGCATTTGCAGCAACCTGGTTTGAGGTGGAGACCATTATTCTAAGTGAAGTAACTCAGGAATGGAAAACCACTTATAAGTGGGAGCTAAGCTGTGAGGTTGCAAAGGCATAAGAATGATATAATGGACTTTGGGGACTCGGGGAAAGACGGGAGCGGGGAGAGGGGCAAAAGTCTACACATTGGGTGCAGTGTACACTGCTTGGTTGATGAGTGCACCAGAATCTTGGAAATCACTGCTAAAGAACTTTTCCCGCCGGGCGCAGTGGCTCAAGCCTGTAATCCCAGCACTGTGGGAGGCCGAGGCGGGTGGATCACGAGGTCAAGAGATCGAGACCATCCTGGTCAACATGGTGAAACCCCGTCTCTACTAAAAATACAAAAAATTAGCTGGGCATGGTGGCGCGTGCCTGTAATCCCAGTGACTCAGGAGGCTGGGGCAGGAGAATTGCCTGAACCCGGGAGGCGGAGGTTGCGGTGAGCCGAGATTGCGCCATTGCACTCCAGCCTGGGTAACAAGAGTCTCCGTCTCAAAAAAAAAAAAAAAAAGAACTTTTCCCTGCAACCGAACACCATCTGTTCCCCAAATTACTGAAGTAAAAAATAAAATTAAAAAAAAGTTGTCCTTGATTTAAAAAAAAGAAAGTACTTTGTTAACTTCATGGGGCTAAAGAAATGTTGTTATAATTATTATAACTGTTAAGATCCTAAGTTTTGTTCAGCTGCCTGGGGTTGTTGACGTTGGTCAGAAGTACATTTGATTATGTAGAGGAGAAAAAGTAATATCTTTTCCTCACCCATGTAAGGTTTACAACTGACAACCCTATAACAAAACAGAGGTTAACAAGAGAAAAAACTAACAAATTTATTTAACAAAGTTTTAGATGACATGGGAGCCTCCAGAAATGAAGACCCATAGAACCAGGGAAAACTCTATTTTTATGCTAGGTCTGATGAAAGAAGTGGATAGCTGTGGAGAAATATGACTGGACAAAAAGGCTATGACCTAATGTAATAAACTGAGTGGGAAACCCAGCAAGCCTGTTTGTTCAGTGGCATTTCTTTCTTCCAGGTGATAGATCACATGAGGGCCCCATGACCTACTTTCAGAGGCAGTAGGTCAGAGTGGTGACCTTTCTAGATTTTATGTCTTGCTTTGGGGAGAAGGAGGGGTAGAAGACAGGAAGTCAGGGACACCTTTTTTTCTGAGGCCCTTTTGTCTCCTTCAGGTGAAAAATATTCGGCATACGGAGGTACCATAATTGGGGATATTGTCTTCTGAGCCCCAATAATTACCTTTGGTGTTTAATAATAGTTATACCACTACCTGGAATTTAGGAATATAAGAATTGGAAGGCATTAGGTATGAAAGTTTGTGACTTTCATTTAACTATGAGGAAAGTGAAGTCCTGGAAAGAAGGGAAGTTACTTGCTCAAAGTCAAACAATTTCAACAGACACTCTACAGTAGAGTAAGATAGAGAAATGACTATTAATCACATGAAAAATGCTTAACCTCACTTACTGTCAGGAAAATGCAAATGAAAATCATAGTGGCTGTTATTACACATATATCAGATGGCTGTAATTGAAAAGATTGTCAATACCAAATGTTGGTGAGGATATAGAGCAACAGGGACTCATACTTTTTGTTAGTGGGAGTGTAAAATGGTACAACCACTTTTGAAAAAAAAAAAACTGGCAGTTTCTTTTAAAATAAACATGCATTTATCCCATGAGCCAGCAGTCTCATTCTTTATTATTTCCCCATGAGAAAGAAAAACATTTGTCCACAAATGACTTGTAAGAGAATTTCATAGCAGCTCCATTCGTGGTAGCCCAAAGTTGGGGAAAAAGATGTTCATTGACAAGAGAATGAAGAAACAATTTGTGTTATATTTATATAATAAAATGCTACACAGCAATAAGAAGGAACCAACTACTAACGTATGCAATAACATGAATTAATCTTCAAAACATTATGCTCAGGGAGACTTTACACACAAGACGATATCCTGTATAATTCCATTTATGTAAAGTCTAAGATAGGAAAAACTAATTGTTGGTGAAAAAAAAATCTAAACAGTGATTGCCTCTGTGGGGTGGGTTGGCAGTGGAGTTGACTGGGGAAGAGTATGAGGGTACTTTTTGGGTTGAAGGAAATGCTCTGTATTTTGATATGTGTTTGGGTTACATGAATGTATTTATTTATAAAAATCTCTGTGGATGTTGGCTGGGTGCGGTGGCTCACACCTGTAATTCCAGCACTTTAGGAGGCAGAGGCAGTTGGATTGCTTGAATCCAGGAGTTCAAAACCATCCTGCCAACATAGTGAAACCCGGTCTCTACTAAAAGCAAAAACTAGCCAGGCATGTTGGTGCATGCCTGTAATCCCAGCTAATCAGGAGCCTGAGGCAGAAGGACCGTTTGAACCTGGAAGACAGAGGTTGCAGTGAGCTGAAATTGCACCACTGCACTCCAGCCTGGGTGAAAGAGTGAGACCCTGTCTCAACAACAACAAAAAACAAAAAACTACTTGAACAGTATGCTAAAGATTTGTGCATTCTACTAGATGTAAATTTTATCTGTAAAAAATAAAACTATATTAAGTTCTAATTAATGATAGACATGCTGAACTATTTAGGAGTGAAATGTACTGATGTTTGCAACTTGCTTTGAAATGTATAAAATGAAATAACTTACCTATAAGTGCAGAGTAGTAAAAAAAAAAAAAAAAAAAAAAAAATAGCCGGGCGCAGTGGATCACGGCACTTTGGGAGGCCAAGGTGGGTGGA